ATCGGCACAACTAAAGAAAGGTATGTCCACAATTTTCCTCCTAACATCTGGATAGGACACTACTTCAGGCACTTTCACTCGATCCACAATTTTGTTGTCCCCGTAATAAAACAAGTCAGCTAGAACTAGAAGTTCACGCCCTCGTTGGCGTTAGCAGCAGAACATTTTATATCCACTGTTGTCAGTACATGAAACACAAATCTTAACTCAGGTACTTGTTGACGAACACGCAATTAGACGCCTTAATGCGTTTCGGCGGAACGAGAAGCATGGATCGTTCTTATGCATGAATCTGACTATATCGCTACGATGAATGTCAGTCTAACTTCCGGACACTGGAGAAAGAGATAGGGAAGACGGCTTCACTCGAAAAGTGGCAATTCTTGACTCAGGGAGCTATAACACGCCCGGAACAGCACTGTGCGGCCGTTTTCTCTTTTCGCGGGTTGTCAGAAGTGCGCATTCCATCGGACCCTTGTACGGTTCGAAGCTGCAACTCGACTGTTGCCAGTCTGTGGTTGAGACCACTGAGCTACGGGGGCGTCAACGACCGTCGTGACTAAGTTACTAGATGTGACATGGCGCCTCTCACTATGCACTGGCTTGCGCGTTACTGCCATGCAGAGGACAGGGTGACCACCTCACCACCAAGTAACCCATGGCATCATAGGCAATCTACTCTGCTTACTGACTACAAAGGAGTAGTAGGGTGAGATAAATGGGCTCGGCCCCGCAACTCGACGATTCCCGAAAAGATGAAACGGCGAATTTCCTTGCGTGTGATGCTTTTCTATTTATACCATTCAGCTTCCCTTACTCCTTTGTATCCAGTAGAACAGACAATTACAAAGCTGTATCGCTGCATAAAGCCAGAGAATGCGATTGCCTCGGTCGTGTTAGAATACACTCATCCCTCCGGGACTGATTTCACGCTTTGATGACTTACCGAAAGTGCATAAAGAAGGGTTTTTACCTAGATCCATTTTGGAAATGTGTGATTCTTCATCTCACTCATTAACAACATGGCTCGCTAAGCTTCTTGAACCGCTCAGAAAAGTTTTATCCAAACACAACTTCAGCTAGGTAGACTCCATTAGACGTGGAACTAATTAAAAAGAAAATGTTTTCGCTAGATGTAGTAGCACTTTTCACTAATGTTCCGCTAGAAGTGATGGTAAACAACCTATGTGATGCTGTTCGATCGCATAATGTGGATGTAGTCTTTCGAACGATCGACTTGAGCACGTACTTCCGATGTGTACTAGGAAGGTACAAATGCAGTTCGGCGGAAAGATCTATAGACCGAATGACGGAGCCATAATGGGCCCTCGTTTAGGACCGCTGTTAGCAAGTATTTCTAAGCTGGAGAACAACTATCTCAACACACACCAACATAAAATTTATCCTGGAATCTAAGGGAAACTGTGCCGTACTTAGACGTCCAGATGCGGCGAATATCTGACTGGTCTATCCAGTCGATTGTCCATAACAAGACAATGTGTAGCGAGCAATATACTCATTTTAACAGCTACGTCCCACTCGGCCAGCAAAGAAAAATTGTTTGATGCGTAGCCGGACTCACAATAGCGTAGCGAGGACATACTACCGGATGAGTTGTACTTCATACGAAGTCTGTTCGAGAGAAATGGCTATCCGAAGGATTTCGCAAAAATCTGGAGCCTTGAGAAGCAAAGGCAAAAATAGTTTTAGTTTGAAAGCAACGGGTCTACTTATTATTACCGTTCAACGCCCGTGGGATACCTGTATCGACATCTAGAAGGCTTTATTGCCATCGCTTGAACCTACTACGCATCAAGCTTACGACCAACCTTTAACTTGGCGCTGACGTCTAATCAATAGCTTAATGACTTAATTTCAACTCAAATTACCTCTTTCTATCTGTACTCTTTCTTGCTCGTATCGATCTAGATATATCGGAAGAACGAACAGGAGACTCAGAGAAAGCTAGGGAGCACTGTCTCGCTTGGCCGTATAGCAGCGTGATTAGATCAGTGTCAAGCGCAGTTTCTGCACACCTTGTCGATTCTAACCACCAGATCAAAGCGCATACCCAGATGCCTCACCCGAGCGTTTAGTTGTCGTCTACTGGCAGCGGCCTGGGCAATCACCATTAAGCTTTATGATCCTGATCTATGTGCGCATAAGTAATTTGTCAGGCACTCACTCTACTCTGGTTCCCTGTAACACTGACACATGGGTGAATGAACAATTTATCGACCCGACATAGAAAGAAGCCAGCTATGCAACTCATGCTTTATTTCTATCCAACATAATCTATAAGTTGAATGCAATTAGTCCAGCGGAGGAAGGTCCAAGACTGCCTCTCTAAAAACAGTTCTACAGCATTGATCACCTGGTCATCGTCGTCAAATCTTTGACCCCGGAGGTGAGATTTTAGTTTAGGGAATAGATAAAAGTCTGCTGGGGCCAGATCTGGTGCACAAGCGAGGTGTGGCAGCAATTCAAACCCGTATATGACTGCTTTTGATACAGCCACTTGAGAAGTGTAAGCAGTTGCATTGTCATAAAAAAGTAGAACTCCTGCTGCATGCTTTCCCCTCCGTTATTGTTTGAGTGCTTGTTTCATTAAACTTAATTCTGAAGCTTATTGCTCGCCTGTGATGGTCTAACCCCTCAGTAGGAAGTTTACCATGATTACACCTCCATTGTCCCAGAAGACAGGCCATCACCTTTCTTTTGGACGTCACATGACGGAGCCTCTTTGGGTTCAGAGAATCCCGGTGCTTTCATTGTTTACTTCGAATCTTTGCCTCGAATTTTCCGGCCTATTCAATTTCTGATCAGGTCTCAACATTCTTATCCCCAAGATGTTTTTTTAAAACATAACGCATTGAGCCATAACTGATTTCAATAGTCTTAGCTATTTGAGAAATAGATAACCTATCATTCGGTGGATTGCTTCCACTCGATCAGCACACGTTGAAGATTTTGGGCGGCCAGAACGTGGCTAATCTTCAGTGCTCTTCCTACCCGTCTTTATATTCGCAGTGCACTTTTTAAACAGTTGAATAAGAAGCAGAATCCTCACCAAGTGTCTCAACCGTATCAGTATGCATTTTCTTTGGCGTCATACTCTTTTTTCTGCAGATACTTGATCACTGCTTGACTTTCACATTTGTCCATTTTTAGAAATTGTGCAACCAAGATTTGCAAACAAATAAAGATGGAAACTTGTGACTCGGCACTGATACTTCCAGGATATGAGACATTTAAAAAATAATCTTACTTTTCATTCAGATCGTTGACTTCTTAGTCGGACCGAGAACTTTTTCATCAACCCTTGTAGTGTGGACAAGACACGCACACACAGACAAACACACTTTTAATTGCCGTACGATCAATCACCTAGTTTGGTCATTCAGACCGTCTGGGATTTCGCACCTGTATCGTTACCTAATCTTTGCATTTTTTGTCCCGTAGCTCATTGTGGTTGTACAGCAGCCAAGAATCAGTCCAACTGGCTGCTGTTGATAACTCTTGTACTGCCTCTCCCCTGATTAGTATCCGTTCGCGTTTGTAGTTTACTCTTCACATTTCTTTATTTATTTCACTTAAATACCGGCTCCTTCGTTTAAGGCAGATGATATGCCCCGTCTTGAAGTCGATGTTGCATACATCATGCTGCAGTTGAGCTATATCGACTTACACTCAAACCGGATCTTTTTGACCTGGATGCAATCTATTCCATTTTATTTTATTTGCTCAGTTCTTTCATTCTGCCGGATTTTCCGTACCAATTTAGCCTGTTTATTTTCCCTCATATTCTGTGTTGGCTGTTTTATGTCCCCAGTGCGGTTGCACCTGATGTGGATGGAGGCAATAGGAGCCTGTCTGTCGAAGGAATGCTACCTCGATTATTCTGGTTCCAGGAGACAATTGGTTGTTACTGGAGCGGACGAGGTGCACGGTCCTTGTGGCCGTGCTAGGCTCAAAGAGTGCTTCCATTCACTCAGTGTAGAGCGGACCACGGTCCAACCACCGCCTTGTGTGCGCTCGATTCCCAAATACAGCGTGCTTGTATTTGTCTGTGAAGGAGTGTGTGCCAACTCCGTTGATGAAACGTCGCTTCCATCCACATGCCTTCTGCTCTTTTTCCTGCGGCTTTTCACTATATATGGGTTGTGTGGATGGAGCTGTCGGTGGTGCAGCGCAAGCCATCCATGGTTCCTCTGTAGGCACAGGCGTCCTGCGGCCTTCCCTGTGGAGGCCGTAGTGACAGGCAAATCCGGAACCAGTTGCTACCAACAATGCCTTTACTTTGACCAGCCCGTTAGGTTGCTACTTTTTCATCTGCCGAATAATGTTTGTACTCGCACTACTCCAAGTGTGCGAGTAGTAAAACAGTCCAGGGATATATCGGCTCTGACCCACCTTTGTCGATTGTGCCATCGAGTTCTCGCACTTTACAAAGTGTCACCTGCTCATGTTATACCTCAAAGTTATCCCATGCACATTCTATATTCTCTGACTTACTGCAATTTATCACCTTGCTCACTCCTATCAGTTTAGGCATATTATAACCACTTTTGATTGGGTGTAGAGGCGTCAACACGGAGTTCATCGAACCTCGACAACATAGGCTAAGGTGGGAGAGTGTTTTAGACAAGTAGCCTCACGTTATCGGCAGTCTAATAGACATGGACCACAGTAGAGCAGTGAGAGAGGGAAGTTCATGACCAGAGTCGTTCGACGGTTATGTAGGTTTCGGCACCAGATCGCCTAGCTCAACAACGTCTTTATTCAGTCCGTCTCTCTTTACTGACGCCTGCCACTTCCTTTCAGTAAGCGGACGATGGGAAATTGCCCTACAATTCTGCTCTATTTATGTCTCCGTATTACCCACTACCTATGTTCACAGAGGCTATTTTTGTCAGCTATAACTGTCACTCGAACAACTCCAATGCTTCACCATTGTGACCTCAAATCAGCCGTTTCTGTTACCTTGTATTTTCTCGCAGCCACCTTTGGAATTTTACACGCAACGACTACGAGCTGTGCAAACGTTTGAGCCAAACAATGCTACCGAGCAACTGGGGTAGGTCTATTAATCTCATGTTCAACACTTCAACGGTTCGTTTTTTACCGTTAAAGCTTTTGGAAGCTATTACGGCAAGTTACTACGGGCATATTTCCTGACCTTCTCAATGCATACCGACTTCAATTCTTTTTTACTATTCATGAAAAATTCTTTATATCTTCATAACGGATAGATAACCGTCATCAATGCTACCCGTTGATTTCAGTCTTTTGCTAGAATTAATAATCCGTCACCGAAAAGTACAAGTATGCTTTCCTGGTAATCAGTGGGCCCGTCTATTTGACACTTAACTGAGTCAACGTAATTTATTCGGTCTCGGTTTTCTGTTTTGTGTAATCAACTCGAGATCACCGTCTGATACTTACCTTCATTCTTCACTGGTCGGAACACGCTGGTTTTGCTCGACGCTAACATTGCTCACTTGTCTACATTGGCCATAGCTCCGAACTCGCTTGCCATCTGCAGATCCGAGATACTAGGTTCTTCTACATTAGAATCTTTTATCATACTGCTGCTCTGCCGGAGGACTTATCCTACGCTTTTGGCGTTTCTGACTTTGATGCTAACTCAAAGCAGCTTCTGTACTGCAATTGGACACGACTTCTAGCATGTTTACTCCCCTTTTATGTTGCATGGACGACAGAAAAGGAGTCTATGGCAACGGAACTCGGACTCCTCTGAGGCTGATAGGGATTGGGGAAATAAGTCGAGACGCGTGTTTATGTGCGGTAAGTGACGAATTTCTTCTGTAACTTCCAAAGAAAGTATTCAATATCATCGAAATCAGAAACGGATTTGGTCAGAACGGAACCAGAAGAGACTGGAAGAACTGTTGCCTTATTCAAATGGATATGGTACATTGCATGTCCGAAAGCACGACCACTTTCCTACTTATTTCCACACTTCAGGTGGAGGTCTCATTACGTTGACTCGAGCCCAGGATGTTTAAAATGTCAGGGAAAGCCACTGCACATAAGCTCCCGTTTGTTAGAGCGCGTTGCCAAAAGACCGTATTGGTTGCCACAGCGGGATTTAACTTGGAGCTAATTGAAAAGTGAAGAACGCAGATACGGGCTAGACGTGATGGAGCAAAAGCTTTTCTGCTAGAATTAACGTGATTCTAGCGATGAACCAAACAGCTGATCGGATGCAAATCAGACATTTCCCACTATTGGACACATGGGTTGATCATCCGTTCACGCTACCCAGATGACTGGTTGACAGATTTCGGCCTACCTTTAAGTGCGTCAAACTGAAGAGCGCCGTTTATACTGCTGCATGTTCACGGTGTGATATTTTGCATCTGGCACATAATTACACGTCTTTTTTAGGCAGTGAAGCCTCGACACTACTGGTGCCGCCTTAATGGCGTATCACTCACTCGCCTCTATCACATAAGCGGCTTTCATGTGAATGACCGACTTTCGTACCGTTGGGAACTTTGTGCCGTCACACCTTCACTCACGATGACTGAAACTAAAACACGCCAGTAATATGCGGCAGGTATACAAAAGAAACAACACCTACAACAATGGGCTCCAGATTAGGGATGGAATATTTTAAAAAATCACGAATAGCCATTGGGGAATTTCGCAACTCTGACAAGTCTCATTTGTTACCAGCACCATCACCCGGCTGTTCACTTTGGAGTCTGAAACGACTTGATGAGCTCGCGTAACAGGCGCATGTGCCGTTCACATGGTTCTTGACACACTAACGGTAAACAAGTGGAATAGAACGTGTCAATATTTGGGTCGAGTGCGTTGTTGATTGGTTCGAACGCGATTATAGTTTTGTGCGTTTATTTTGTTGATTTTGCAGAACTGCGCGGACGAAGTGTACTTTATGCACTCTGATTATTCCTGACTGATGTTTTCTAGTCTGCGACTTCCGTTCGATGGCTATACAGCGGATGAAGACGAAAGCTGTCGTTTTTGTCATACCAGGCACTATACTGCTGCTCCCTTGGTCAACGCAAAAGTCTCGGCTTTTTGGATATCCATGTTGCCCGCATCCTTCCGATGTATGCGGATGGCTTTTTTTATTCCTTTTTACACCGGTGCATTTCTCTTGTTGTTGGTCGCCTCTCCTAGTCCACTCCACGAACGATTTCGCACCCCTCTTTGGACACTTGAAGATAGTCGGTAGGAGTACATGCTTTAAGGTGGAGAATATCATCTTGACCCCTTAACGGCTATCTCTGTTTTAGAGGTCTGGACAGGGACGAGCCATCGAAACTCTAAATGAAACGCAATGCTCGCAATAAGACCCTAGTGATCTGCTGCCCATCCGGACCCAGTTTGATTACAACGTGCTGTACAAAAATTAGTTATCCTATGCCATCAACGGCTACGGTACATGCAATTTGAATGCGTGCGGTACACTTCTTCTACTTTGTCACTCTCTGTCTACCTCAATGACTTTTGTCACCAGAATGTCAATGTATCAATAGGGCTGTAACTGTGGAACAACCTAAATCGAGTTGCATCGCACGTATGGTATATAAATATTGCTAGTTTGAGCTATCAACCTACACTATACGCACAGTCTGCGCAGAAAACGGTCTAGACAGAAGAATTTGTATTTTAATCCTGTAACCACGTTTTTACTGGAAAGCACAATGTACAAGGTAGGATTCGCGACTAGCTTTGCATCGGCAGCTGAAACAGTTAACAGTAATAGTGAGGTTAAAAGCAAACAGCCTTAAGCGTGACATTGAGAAATGTGCATGCAATTAAATTCAATCTAAAACGATACTCGTTTGAGCACGAAAAGCATGTTATTAGCTCAGAAGGTGGAAAGCAGTGGGAATAGCATCACTGAGTTATCAAGAAGGATTAATCAATCTGGTAAGAGCAATCAACCTTTTTTCGGACTCTACAAGGGCTGTGGGAGTTTTGGTCCCATTTTTGACCTGAGCTAGTGCTGCAAGCATCGTGCACTGAACTTGCCGGCACAATAATCGTTTGACAGCTGACGGCTCTCATGAACACCGCTGATCACTAGGCATGTACAATATGAAAGCTTTACGTCTGTTTTTACGTATTAATTTTAGGATTCCTCTGTACTCAAACACATCGTATCAGTTTGTTCCTCCTATCATACTGCCTAAAAGCCCTTCTCCATATGAAAGCAAGTTTTTGAGTTGATTAGACCACTAACGACCGTGTGATCCTTTCAGTCAACCGTCAACCACGAGCTTTCCACTCCTTTCCCTCCATCTGTGACCAACTTCTCAAATAATTATTCTCATCGATCAGACCTTCTTCTAAATCATAAGTGATATCGGAACGCTTATTTCGTGTGCACGAAAACGACTGGCGACCTTTTGTAATGCATGTTTCCGGAACCATTTAAAATTTGAAAGAGTAGCTGGTTAGAACCAAGCGGCCGGGTGCTCTGGAATAGATTGGACGAGACAATTCGTGCACCTCGAGAAGCCTGTGACAGTCAGCCACTGCTGAAAGGGCACCACAGGGCTGACGTCACTTTTTGCGACAAGCGATCATCACGAGTAGTCAAGTGAAAAATCTGACGTACGCTTTCTGGGGTGACTAACGGAAACACATATTCGAGAAGCGTTGAAGTATTTGAGCTATATAGATCTACTGTCAAGGGACTTGCGGTTGAATAGTAGTTTAATTCCCTTTGTTTGTTGCATTTGAGAATCACTGCAGACTACATTCGCTTACCACCATTTCCATCTCGTATGCAGCATTCGAGTACCTTTTAATTTACTTTCTCTCACCTCAAGCCGCTGCTTCCTGTCATCGGGCCATCGTGTAGGTTTCGACGTAGAATATTTCTTTAATCTTTGGCCAATACCATTGTGACACTTAAATGTTCTTGTTTATGCCCTCCGGTCGCAAATCCACTTGTGTTCTACTCCGGATAATACACCATTTCCGGGGATCACGTCTGCAAGAACACCCTACCTATTTTGCAACATTTGCAGGCTATCCACCTGCCATTTGTGTTTTTACAACGCGCTTAGTCTAAGCTCATTTTATCGATGTTAATGTGGGAAAGGAAGTTAGTGATTGAGCAGTGGAACTAAGTTAAATTTTAGCACATCATACGAAACGTATATAACGCGTACTGCGGTCTATGAGACTCAGACTTTGTGCACAACCGGAGCGGAAAATAATTGGAGGGGAGAACTGTGCTACATTTCTGTACCTCTAGCTATGGAGACTGAAGTTGCCTATGACCGGGTTTGCAACTTGTACGCAACAGGTGGAAATGACAGTGTGTAACAGCGAAGCTATCGGTCGATTGAATGAAACGAAATTATTTTTGGCTTGAAAACATCAGTTTTGCGCTAACGAGCCAAATAAATGGCGTTTTGTGAATGTAACCGTCTGAAGCACATAGAACAACTAATTGGTGGGGAATGGTGTATTTGGATGGAAATGGGAGTCTGAGTCTTTAGTATGGATTCATTTGACTTATACGAGAAATTAGAGTTCTTATGATCCTTAAAATGATGACGAGGCGGATTGTATTGATGAAGTGTATGCTAATGGTGACCCACAGATCATTATCTTCCGATTAGTCTGTGGCGCAGCGTTGAGATCGTCGTAGTTAACTGACTGACTCCGCATCATCGTTTAGGGTGTTGGGCTTGCGTGCAAATTCAGGCTACTGCCTTGTTGCTTTTAGCCAATACGCCTCGAGCGTGACTGAAGCCGGGCATCGTAGCCTGGTACTCTGTCTCATATGGCTTTGCTGTGGCGTGAATTCAAACTGTATTGATGCTTCACTTTGGTTTATACTGTTAGCGAAGAGATTACGAGTAGAGCAAGTAAAGCCGACGAGGATGCAAGCGGGATCTGTTGACAATGGCTCGTTTTCGGTTCCGTACTCTGTACCATTACCGGTGCATGCGTGATAAACCTGTCATGACTTCACACATCCTTAAGGGAAGCATTTGAGTCCTCCCCGAAGCCTTTGGTTGACAGCTCGGCCATAAGATAGAAGGAACTTGGTGAGGACGT